GCTTTTTTGTCAGTTCTTTCGCTATGTTGTATGTTGGAGTCCCTGGTAAAGATACAATTGGCACTTCTAATCAATAAAGCTTTCCCTAACTACCTTTTTCTTGAAATTATATTATCCATTACATGCAACTCTTCATTCCATTCTTCTCCAAGGCATTCACATCATGCACAAGTCATCTGTGGATTCAATCCCACAAGTAGTAGTGATGGCTGCTAGTTTTAGATATGTTCAGATGGCTTTAAAAGGTGATTAGAGAAATTTACTAAGGCTATGTCTAGCAATGACTTTTAAATCACAATGACTACTGGAAGCCAGTTACAGATGCAGTAGGCCACTGGGGAGATCTTCCAACAAAGCTTCAGTTCCACACCAGCAATGAGATGAGGTCCATTGTGATTAGATGACCTTGTCACTGGTGGGTTGTCAGTGAATGATGTTCCAATACATTTTTGTTTTTAACTAACAGCAAATAGCCATTTCAAGTTTGTCTGTGAAATAGCTCTGATGGGTATTTTGTGCTTCCACTGGAGAGGAATTGACTCCTTTGTAAAGGGGCACTGAAGCAAAGCTGCTATTGTACCAGAATCAAATCACTTGGTAGAGGAGCTTAGTAACTCTAAGAATACCAAAACAACTAGCAAAGTCATTTTCCTTTCTTTTTGTGAAGGGGTGGGTGCTTTTTTAGGATGGACGTGGGGTGGGTGGGATGAAGTTAATTGGCAACCAATCATGGATTGGCTGATAGATCTGTGTTCAGCTGTTGACCAGAAAGGGCAAATGTTGACTGCTGGCCACTTGAAAACAGGCCCATAGTCAGAGTGCCCCGAGGCCAGGTTAGATCTGAAAATGGTCAGAGTAACTGAGGTCAGTCTCAGTTGAACCTTAAAGTGAATGTGGAAGAACTACAAGACAAAGAGTCTCCACTTGCTACAAATTAGTAGGGAGGAACAGTCACTAGCGTGGTTTTGTCCTTGTGGGTCAATGTTATGCTGAAATCTTCCTTGCAGTTTCTCACAGGGCTATTTCTTCTGCAAAAAAGGCTTCTGTTTTGCTTCCTTGTTCTCAGAATACTTGAAAATTATTTTTAATTTCTTTTGGTGATGTTCTTGAGCTTTATTTATGGTTGAAATTGGCAAGTGTGTTACTGCTGGCATTGTTGATCTTTTTACACATTTCTCTGAAGGGTCCTGGTCTGTCTGTACCTCCCACATGTTATCTTCCCATGGGATTTGATTGTGTTAAACCAGGGAGCCTACAGACTGCCAGAGAAAGATGGGCTGTTCACATATACACAGAAATACATTTTATTAACTTCGTAACTAACTAGTTGCAAGAACATCAGATCCCCGGCACCTGTGATCATTTCATTAAAATTCTCTCCTTTGGAAAAAAAATATTGACAGCAAATTATCTTTCTTTAAATTGGGTGAGAACTGGTACATGATAGTTTTTCAGCACAACAGTGGACTTTTCAAAGGGAATTGACTGGCCTTTATCAGAAATAGGATATAGAACTAGAAGGTTGTGTTGGACCTATCCATCAGGATGTTTATATGTCTTATTTACACTATGATAGTCCATCTTAGTTTGAATGTTTGCTAGAATTGAAACATCTACTTGCTGACAGGTTTCAAAGCATTAATGAGGGCTAGATGTCACCGGAAGTATTGATGTCTTCTGAGACAATCTCCATTTTTGTCATAAAATAAGGACTTTCTTCACTATATTAAATACACTGTATACATTGTATTACATACACTCTTTTAAAAATCCTAAGGATCACTATTTTCATTTTTAGCAGTGCTCTTTATCAAATTCTTCCTTCCTACTGTTGTCATGTTTTACACAATTCCAATAAGTTTATTTCCAGTTTCTCCATCAGATGATGCTCGGCCCAAGAATCTTCAATGTTATTTTAATGGAATTGATAGGCTCAAATGCAGTTGGGAGGTGAGACAAGAGATCAGCAGTTCTGTTTTGTTCACACTCTTTTACAAAGACAATCCTGGATCAGAGTAAGAAACTATCTTTAAATCAAATATTTCCCTGAATGACTTACTTTTTCAAAAAATTAAATTTAAATTTAATTTACATTAATCAAATGTCTCCCTGTTGTTGTATTCATTTATGTGCAGAGAGATGGAATGCTCTGAAGTCTATCAAGTACCTCTTATAAGCAATAATGCCACTTATCATGTATTGCAAAGCTGCGAGATCAATGTCACTAATCCCAACAGACAAAGCCAATATCTTGTGCATGTAGGGCTGAAAGAAGAAGTGAAAATGATACATTTTCATCAGAAAAGTAAGTCCCCTCTAGAGAATGCCTATCTATTTCACAGAAGCATGTGCTGGCTCCTGTAATTGTTGATTCTCTTATTTGGAGGATACCTAATACACAGTCATAAAGAAGTAAAAGTGCAGATAAAATAGATTATGTGATCCCCTCTAGGACAAGTCTAGCAGATTAAGCAGGATTCAGGCATGGCCTAAAGACACATGATACCACAACTTCACTGAAGTTAAATAGCTCTGGATTTTATCAGTGCCTGAATGGATATTCTTTAAATACCCCACATACTTTGAGTTGAACTCCATAATAGAAGAAAGATGAAATTTAATGTAACAAAGTTAATAGTCATCTAGTTGGGCACTCTGGCAGGTATGAAGTAAAAGACATGACTAGGACTGTGGACAATCCTTGCTCAAGTTTGTCCTCAATTTGAAACTTACTGGGTGACTTCTGATGTCACTGTTATGGGGACAAATTAGAGGAAGAAGTGCTGTAGACACTGCAGTAAGCTCATGGAGGAAAGCTAGGATATAAATGTAACCACTAAATATGTAACCGACAGGGCAGGTCCCCATTTTCTGCATTTCCATCCCTGTCTACAGTACCACAAATCTCCTCTTCTCTCTCTTTTTTCTTCTTTAAGCTGCAACATAGGCATGCTGGAATGAAGCTCAAAGTTTCAATGAATGGTACTCTACTTTTGTGAAGCTGAACCATCAGTTCTTCCTTGCTACAAAGTTTTTATAGACCAGTGGAATATAGACGTCCCGTTCCTTTTGCTTTCATTGTTTTAGCATCACAGCAATGATTGTTCAATGGGGGCACAAAAAAAAAAAAAAAAGGGTCCATGTTAGTGTCAAAAGAGAGAATGTGGGAAGAGGATGAGAAGATATCCATGTGTACAAACATCTGGGAAAGCAAAGGAAAAGAGTGGGGACTAGGAAGAGGGAAACAATCACTAAAAGAAAAGTACCAGCCAACTAGAAGACCCATTCATGCAAGGGTGAGCCGCTGAAGTTTGCCTTCTTGGCAAGGAACAACATGATAAAGAAGCAGCGTAGGTTGCCATGTGGAATTGTCCAAAGTATAGAGACAAGAGTGTGCTCAATTCTAATTTTCCTAAACAAACCTTTTGACTTTTGACCACTAGGTGGCAATTATGTAAACCTACCTTACATTTAGCTTAATTTTTCTTTCTTCCTCATGTATTTACTGCAGGTGCAGGGCCTGAGTTTTTTTTTGATCAACTGGTTACTTTATTTTGATCCATTGGTTATGACAGGAACTGACTGACTGGCTTGTTGCCTGAGCCTGATGTCATGGACTGAGAGAGAGTCACTGACCCAAAGTCGCCCGGCTTACATTTAGCTTAATAAAGTTGTCTAAAACTTTTAAAATTAGTTTCTTCTGCACATGATAGAGGGCAGCAAAGGATGCTTCAGCAGTGATTGTTGTTCCAGCTGGCTAAGAATTTTGCTTGGTTTTCTATTGATAAGAATTTACCAGTATTTGCAAATTTCTGCATAAACAAACAGAAAGACCTTGATAACTTCTTTTCAAATGAAAGAAAATAAAACTAATTCTTCAGAGTCTGGGTTGGAATCCTTATGTATTATCCTATATTTGCAATGCTGAATTAAGGTTGCCAGCTTTTTTTTTTTTCCTGACAAGTTTCTCTTCCTAGACAGCTAAAAATTATACATAGGGATGTTTTGAAAAACTGTCCCTCTGAATCTGGCCTAGGCAGATGCACAAGCATATCGACTGGCTCAGTTTTTGGTAAGATCTTAGAAATATTTTTCATTAACTTGAAATTCAGAAAAAGCTGAATGAGGGAGAAAGTTAAAGAGATTATGTAATGTGTCCAGAGCCTGAGAAAGAGCTAGAAACTTCAAATAATTAAATTGATGAGTCTCTTGATACATTCTTTTGTTTCTTCTAGTCAAGCCGTACCCACCTTACAACCTGTCCATGCCTATGTCTGATGGTCTTAAGTACATCCTGCAGTGGAATTGCAAAAAGATCCATGAGATATATGACTTGCCAAAGACATATCAGATCTCATACTGGGAAACTGGAAAACCTTCAGAGGTAAGCTGGAATAGATTGCTTCATAACTAGCAAACAGATTATGTTTCTGTTTGCCCTCATTTAATTTTTCTTTTTCCTGTCTTACCTTTTCCTTCCTTCCTCTCAGCCCAGATTTGTTCCCAGTGGGATCCAGAAATTTGTTTTTACTTCAGAGTTCCTGGAACTAGGCAAAAGTTACACAGCAAAGGTGCGAGTAAAAGTAAACTTTGATGGTTACGATGGTTTTTGGAGTGAATGGAGTGAAGAATTTGGCTGGCCAACTACCAGCGGTAAGTCAAGAGTGGACACTAATCTTCTTTTGATCTTTATAGAGAAATAGTTTATGCTATCCTCAGAAGGCAAAACATTATATACAGTACATGATTTCGTTTAAGTTGTGACCCCGAGTCAGTTCGATTGTGGTGATCTATGTAGGTAATTAATTAATTAATTTTTTTAAAAAAAATCACATCACAGTGGGACTTTTTGTGGATTGTGTTTGTGGTGTGTTTATGTGCATGCTTTATGTATTTATTTCTAAACATCATTTGATACTGCTTTAAAGCAGTTTAAAATGGTTATAATAAATGCTATGAATTAAGGGTCAGAAATGATGAAAGCAGTGAAAAAAGCTCCGGTTATACCAACTATTTAAAAAATAAATACAATCTATGCAAATAATGTGATTGCATGCAGTAGATCACAGGTTCAGTCCCTGACATCTCCAGGGAGAACTGTGGTAATTCCTGCCTAAACTCTGGAGATAGGTTCTCTTTGACAGGCTGCAGTATCTTGGACAACATATAGTTTCTAAAGCAGTCTTTCTCAACCTTGACAACTTGAAGAGGTGGGGTGCTTTTTTCCTTCCTATCCCCACCACACAGTGACGATGTGGGGGTGT